AAACGGTAAAAAATAAGCTTCAATTCAGTTAAAGAAATGTTTTAATATCTCCTTTGGTTTAGGAGCAATAACAATTTAAAAATAGGGAGTGACTTTTCAGACACCCTGGATATATTTCAAAGTATAGGCTGTCCACAAAAAATTAACAGCAATATTTTGTTTTACTTGTGTTGCCCTGCACTTGAAAATATTCGCCAAAGTAGTTGAAAAAATGACTGATAATTGAGCTCTCTTTTGCTTTGCACTGCATGAAAAAAAAAATCAGTGTGGCTTACAGGTTTAATGTCACTAGCATGGATGTGCCTGCATGCTGAGCATGTCGGGTGGTAGAATCATGTGTTTTTCTAAAGCATATACCTTGTAAAAATGTTGAAGTGCATTTCCTCTCTATCATGGTGGAAAACTATTTCAGTATCTGGTGTACCATTCTGGTAGAAAATGAAATCTTGCTTCACCATCCCTGCATTAGGGGAAAGATAAGACCTGTTGATATGGAGGATGGGAGTAGTCCATATTTCCAGCCTGAGCATAGCATTGCAAAGCTCTCAGCCATATGAATTTCTTGATCCACTTAGCTTGGTCATATATGTACAAGCAATAGTAATACTTAATCACTGTGTTAGGTGGAGGTAAATTGTGCTGAATTTTGAATAAAACTGATGGTCTTGGTTCTGAAACTTTGAATCATTGTAAACCCTGCAGGTAAATGGGTCAACCTTCCTGAAATGTTGCAACATTGCTTTTAAGAAATATGAATCAAGGCTAATCTTCTCTTTTAATGCATGGCTTACAAAGTATCCAGGATTTTTAGCCAATGAGCATAATATAACTAGTGTTCATGAAGTCTTCTTAGTAATTTAAGAAGATTTACTGGAAAATCATCAAGGTAATCTGATGGAATTTGAATAAAACTTGGCCTTGAATTCAAATTTGACTTGTGTGGTCATTTTTCTTTGTTCAATATTGACTCTCAGGAATGTGAAAAAGTTCTTGAGGACTAGCTAAACTTTTCTCTCACAGTAGCCAAAGCAACCAGGACAACCACATCAAAGTATTCCCAATTCTTGATCAAAGGAAGATGAATAACATAATTATAGCTGGGGCAACCCAGCCAGTCCATCAAGAGGTAGATGGTAGGTAGATGGAGGGAGGGCATACAAGAGTATAATATGACCTGTTTATCTTGAACTATGTACAAATTTCAACCTAATTCTTGTGATTGTGGTATTCATCTACCTTTGATCTTCACTGTTCCTGATTGAAAATAAGTCCTTAAACATCCAGGTTATATTAATACATTTTCATCAAGGATTTCAAGGGTTTTACAAATGAGAACAAAGCTGAGTTGAGACAAATTATGAGATCAAGTAGAGATCAAGACTATTGTGTTTGGTGAATCTTGCTGATGGCTGTAAACTAGGTGTGTTTATGCTTTTCTTAAAGGCTATTAGAATAGAGGGTGCCTATTATGTCAAGTGATTGTTCAAGTGGTCTGTATGTCATGTCAAATTCAACTGGAAATTACAAGTAATCTTTAATCTGCTGAGAGACCATTATGGAGATCAGCCTCAATGAGTAGTATTTGGATCACTGACTTGTCCAGTCTGCTCTTATCACTCTGAGATGTTAAAAAATACAGGCCAAGCATGGGTGAGACATTCTAACTGAAACCTTTAGTCAGTCGATCTAAACCAGCGGTCCTCAAGCTGTGGGTCACAGGAGGCCTCAAGGTGTACATTTTCACAGTATGAAAAATTATTATATCCGCATCCACCCAGGATAAAACATGCCCTGCAGGATAGGTTGATCAGTTTTCTTTGCATGATAATTACTTTGAATACACCCCATTCTGGATTCTGGTGGGTCCTGAAATTTTTTTGTATGTCAACAAGTGGGTTGCAATTTAAAGAAGTCTGGGAACCGCTGATCTAAACAACAGGAATGGATGGTAAATGGTGTCCTATAAAACCTTTACCATGTAAAAGGTACACTGTTTCTTTTATTCTAGAGATAGACACAAAAAGCATGGCATATAGATTGAAATGAACCAAATTTTTATTCTATCTACAAGTTATTAATTCCATTAATGGAGCACAAGTTCAAATTGACACACATTACAGAGAATGCATTCTTGAATGCACCTTGCACAATTCAAGATCACACCCTGCACTTGTCTGTCTATGCCTTGGATTTTCTCCCCAATGGCATCCTTCACATCTTCATTGGTCAGTGGATTCACCTTAAACACTTCATCTTTCAGTTAACCCCTCAGGGAAAAATCTAGTGGCAAGAGATCTGGTGATCTTGGTGGCCATGGAAAATGTGATTGATGTGTGATCAAATGATCTGAAGAGTGTGGTTGCAAGCACTCCATAACAATCGCAGTAGTATGACATTATCCTCCAAGAGAGATCTCTTGTCCCAGGGGGGGGCAGCTGCTTCCCCTGGCGCCCCTGGGACAGGGCTTGGTGTGTCCTTGGAGGTAATGTAATTTCCCCACCTGATATTGCTAGGGTAGCATATGGCACCCCTGTGCTGTTGCCCTGCCCCCTCTGACCCCTTAGCCAAAATACGCCACTGGTTAAAGGTCTGCTTCTCCATGACATCAGCACAGCTTTAGGCACTTAAGATCACCAAAAACTGAATAAATTTTTTCTTTGTTAATTTTTGATACTTCTAAGCAATTATCTGATGCAGACAACAACCAGCAGAGCAGTGTAGAATTGCACAATTTGGCAGGAAATAGTGAATTAATTACTTACATTTCTGGATCTTTGACTAGGCAGCCTGTGGCAATTCACTAGCATGATTGAGTTTTGCTTATGTCCTTTTTGGCTTTTAATATCTCACTTCAGAAGAGGTTGAGCTTTATGCAGTTTTCCACAAAAGATAGCCAAACCATTAGCCATTTTCATATTGGGTTAATCTATCACAGAAAAGATTAACTCTTGTAATGCTGTTGTGACAGCATATGTTACCCAAAAAAAACCTAGCTACATAATTATGCATTATGAGTGTTAATTTTTGGGGTGTTTGCATTTTGTGAGACACCCTGGACATCCACTTCTTTTTATTTCTAGATGACATTCAAATAGGAATAGTTATTTCAATGCTTTTCATTACTTTTTTTAAATCTTTTTATTTGTTTTGGTGATGTATAATTGAGGAAGAAGCCTTGCCCTTGCATCATAGGTTTGCAAGATATAATTGCTGATATTTAATCACAACATTTACTGCCTCACTATTGTGCACCATCTGGAGGGATAAAGTCAGTATGGTTGAATTGTGTATACAGTAGTATGAGCTATACTAAGTTGAAACTAAATGTGCCACAGACCGTTACTTAGGCTGGGGGCTACAACTATGTGCAGCACCAAACCCTCTCCAGTGGCATTAAGTACTCATTATTTGCAGGTCTTCAATATTGAGCACTGTATTCTGGATGAGGCCTTACCTGGCCCTGCCACCAGTTCTTGGCATTTGAGCACCAGTTAAGACTCAAAGACTGTTGCATTTAACTTTTCCAAACATTCACATATTTGGAAAATTTAATTTGCTCATTGATAATACCTCCTAAATGTGTCTTAATACTGTCTGCCCCCAGGTTAGCATCAATTCCTTCCAAAACATATAATTATTCTGAAGTAACTGAAGATATTCAATATAATTGTCTTCAATTTCAGAAATCATCTTTGTTTTTACTCTACTTATCCAACATTTTAACCCTTCAAGCAGGTTCATCAAGATTGTGATATCCGCTCAGGTACATCTAATGTGCTAGTTAAAAGTGAATGTAGCATGGTTGCATACTATTATGAAATCTCCCTGGTAGAAAGTAAACTCTTTCCTTAATTTATGCAGACACGTTTCCTACTTGATGCTCCCACTGTCTTGCAGAACTGCAAACATATTTTTTGCCACAGGGGATATTAAGCAGCTTAAAATTGCTAGCTTGAATGGTTAAGAGATATCCGTTTGGCTGCAAATGAAGGCTTAACTAAACTTTGCAAAAGGTTTAGTTCATCCAAATGCTTTGTTTAAGGCCCATCATGTTAACTGCATTTTTATTTTTATTTTCAATATGATTAAAAATTCCACGTTCTTTCATGTATTAAATAAATGTACAGGGTGTCCCAAGTCACTATACCATTTCAAACTGCAATATTTTCCAAACTGCAACAACCAGATCACTTTTCTTAGCATTGATGGAATGAACATTTAGAATTTTTAGAATTTTTTTTCACAATAATGACTTGGAATCAGACTCAAACAGAAATTGCTCCTAAAGCATGTCAGAAAGGTGTATGTCTTTCGGGCGATTTATGTCTTGGTATGTCTTGTTGAATCCTCTTTGGAAAAAATTCCAAAACTAATTCTCCTAATTCCAGACAGACCTAAGGAACAAAAAATTTAATTTGCTTTCATTAATAGTTTAATTTATCATTTAATTTGCTTTTGCGGTCATGAGAAAAGCCTTCACAATTGGTGCTTGAGCAATGAAGGAATGTTGCTACCTGGAAGGAGGTCTTTGAGAGTCCCATCAGAGTCCAAAGAGAGTTTCGACAATATTTGGTCATGAGCTTCATGGCAAATGTATTGACATAGGTGGAGGGCATTTTGAAGCACTTTCAAGCTTCAGAAATACCTCCATTTTTGACAAAGATAGTTCCAAATGACATGCTATTGTTCAGTTAATGTTACTTCTTTTTTTCCCAACTGTTTGGTAGATGTGAATTTTTGAAATGGTATAGTTGCACTTATGGGACACCCTGTATAGCTTTGAAGTTTCTGAGAGAATCTCAGGAGTTCTCTGTAATGCCCATGGATAGACAGTTCTTTTTTATAGGCCTGAAGTATAAGTCTGCTGCAGTGTAGAATGTGACTGAGCACTGAAGATAGTGAAAGGGTTTCATGTTGTCAAAATGTCATTGGTTCTTCAACAGATCAATATGAATAAGGTAGCATTGTTGTGATGTGATGTGATGTTTCACAGACTATGGTGCTCTAGTCAATGGCTGCCAATGTGGAAAGCAAGAGGTTTTATTTTTATCAAGCAATACATCAGTTCAGTGAAACCACTGAGTGCTACTGTGTTTCTGCCTCGAAACCAAAGGAAGAAATGGATGAAAATATGTGCCTTTCTTACTGTTCCAACTTTAATTGGGACGTCTCTGTTTGTCACCAGTCCTCATCTTCAAAGGAGGTGGAAGTCAAATTTGGATGCTGGATTCCGGTTTCTCAGGTATGCTTAAACCCTGGACTATGAACCCATACTTCCTTAAAATAAGTCATAATTGCCATCACTCTCCCTGTGCTCAATTGGGCATTGGGGACTGAAAATACTTTTTAGTTATTTTATTCACATTTCACTCTTAATTTAATTAATTTGGAACATGTCCTGAAGTGGGGGATTCTCCCAAAAGTTAGTTGTCTAATTATCACAATAATCATCAAGCAAGTTGACATTTAGGGCTCAATTGTACAATGAGTAAGTTTGTGCATGCTTTGATGCAAAAATAACTTTGAGAAAAATGCACAAAAAATAATTTGTGACTGAAAGGGTTAAGCATGACATGTTAACCAAGTCCATGAAATGACTTAGTCATTACATGGACTTGGTTACTGTTAGGGGTGTTCTATGGGTTTGAGAACATTAAAGGATACTACCCAACAACCAAGGAATTCAGTGCTCATTCACATCATGTAATGGATGTACATGAACAGGCGGGATGGCAAATTGATCACCTTATGTTTTTTACTATAGCCATTTTTGTATGGTTTGAAAGCCAGTCTCAGAAGGGGCAGAAAGCCATATGCATTGCAAAACAAGAAGCCCTTTATGATGGGAAACCTTGTGAAGTCCATAAGTGTGATTGAGACTGATGCAGATGCAGATGCAACAGGGAAACATTGGAGGTTCAAAACCTACTTTGGGGAGCAAGAGATCTTCAGTATAGGGAAAATTATGATTTTCAACCCTTTCCAATCATGCATTTTGATAATATCAGCAAGAGTGTGTGACAAAAACATATTAGAGTGAAACATGATATTAATAACTATAATTGGATTGCCTGCTGGACACCAAAGGTAAGTGATACTGTTACTACCAAGATGCCATTGATCTTACCACAGAAGCCTAGGCTTGGGATATCCTTTCCTGTGTCCATTCAGCTTCATATGATTGGCTTACAATATTCTTAATAGCCCCAGGGAGGCTTTTTCTCTTTTATCCTCAATTCTACTCCATAAATGTGTAATCTCAAGATCCAGGAAATGTGCTCTTCAGGGGTGCATGAAGGAGGGAAGAAACTGTGGGTCTTAAACCCCCTCATTGGCTCATCAGTTATGACAAACTCATCCCCATGGTGCAGAAAAGGAAGGAACCAAGCTACATAAAATGGTAAAGCTTGACAAATGATGTATAAAAGAAATTTTGGGGCTGGGTTTAGGTGTACAGTTATGCAGCCTTCACCCAGGTCCTCCTACTCCCCCTGCCCCCTCCTATTTTTGTAAGTTTATGAATAATTCCTTCCCATCAAAATATCCTTGCTTGAACAGGGAGCATGTAATTCTTTGAGATGCATAATAGACAGGAGTATATCATATCCATTGAGGGATTCCCAAATGGATGAAACTTGTCATTCAGTGAAAAATCATGCTGAACTGACAGGATATGAATGCAATTTCATCTGCCACTGCTGCTTTGTCTTGCCATGTTACACACAGGAGTAACACATTGCAAGAAGTGCTTCAATAAATTTTTCATATTCAGTTCCCTTGATACTGAGCCTCTGTATTGAAAGCATGCTTATGACACTGATGGCCACAGATGGGAACTGTGAACATGGAAGGACAAGTTATAAATCAGGTGATCAGAAGTACTTGGTTCCCCAAGGTATAGCTTCATTATCTGGTCATTAGACCATGATCATTCATTTTCATATCTACATAATTTATGCCTTTGAAAGTGGCATGAATGAATTAAGCAACTTCAATTTTATTATTTATTCAATTTTATTTGTTTCTCTTTCCCAACTTTTGAGAACTATTTATGCCTTCTTTTTCTTTGATCATTTCATAATGGTTAACAATTGTGGGCTTTCTTTTTTACAGCTTTGTGCAGGTATGGCATCCTGTAGTGCTTCCATTATAAGCAAAGAGCAAAACCCCTTTCAAGCAAAGAGCAAAACCCCTTTCTGATGACAATGTTTGGCAGAATACCAATGGGTCATGAATTTCCATCAAAATATCAGACAAACAGCTTCCATCTGTTTTTTCTTACATCTTTTATTGTCTTAATATTGGTCAAAACTGCCTCTTATTTGTGCGTAACCATGGAATTAAATTTTGTAAACCATGAAGCCCAAAGCTCATAACTGAAGTTCAACAGGTCATGCAAGATTGGAGTTGGAATTTCCTTGGACTATCATCTCTCCTTATGGAGAATGTCTGAGGATTCACCAGCATATGAGAAAGCCATCAAAGCTGTACACCTGAGGTCAGCTAAAAAACTGGTGGAAGGATGCATGAAAAATGGAGGGATTTACATAAAATTGGGCCAAGGACTTGCAATGCTGAATCATATCTTTCCAGAGGAATATGTGGAAACATTGAAGGTATTTTTCCCTTTAACAGGCTAACTGCAGTTTGCTTGGTATTTAGCTGCTTCTGATATGGAAACCTATGAAGCATGGTGTACTTGAAGGTCTTGCAAGATAAGTGTCTCATCAGACAGCCAGGTGAGGTGAAGGCTCTTTTCTTAGAAGACTTTGGAAAACTCCCGGAGGACATTTTTCTAGAGTTTCATGAAAAACCTATTGCTGCTGCAAGTTTAGCACAGGTGACAGCACTTTTGTGCTCTTATAATTTTTTCATTTTGATGGGTGGGTTCTTGGTAATCATTCATCTTTTAAAAAATTACTTCTTGCATAGGTCTTCTATGCAAAAACAATGGAAGGAAAGGAAGTTGCAGTCAAGGCACAATATATTGACCTTCAAGAAAGGTTTCATGGGGACATCAGAACAGTTGAATACCTCTTGGATTTGATAGCATGGATGCATCCAAATTTTGGCTTCAGATGGGTCCTTGAGGTGAGAAGTGCCATTTCTTGTGTCTTTCTGTATTCTTTATATTTTATTAAAATATTTTATTCATGGCCAATCACCCAGGATATGAAAGAGACATTGGCTGAAGAATTGGATTTTCTTCATGAGGGAAAAAATGCTGAGAGATGCCAGAAGGAACTGTTAAAGTTTCCCTTCCTTGTTGTGCCACAAGTACATTGGGAGCTGTGTTCCAAGGTATAACTTTATTTTCTTCATTGTTGTCTTATTGGCAAAGTCATCACCAATCTGATAGTATTAGGTGTGGCCTTGGGTTAGTGCAATTGTGGATAGCATGGCTAGTGCAAAGTGAAAGTGCCAAGATGTAAAGCAGACAACAGTCATGAACATGGGCCAGGAAGCTCCTCATATGTACAGTGTGACACAAAAGTCAGTTGACAACTTGTTGCCTCAGTTCAATAATGTTCTATCTGACATTTTCATGAAAAATGAGATAATGAAATCTAAGTAACCAACATGGAGAGCAGATTCAGGAGATATATAGATTTTGTGTAAATTCCCTGAAGAAAGGCTAGAATTAACAATTCAAGGTTCTATCTGCCCAAGTCCAAAACATTCAGTTCTACAAGGTTCTATCTGCAGTTCCTGGACAATAGCTTTAGACAAAACTCTTGAGACTTTTGATTAGTTTATTATCTAGGGTAGGCAGTCTGCTATTGCCATCAATCAGTCAGATATCTTGTTATTGCTAAGCACCATCTGATAAGATTTTGCCTAACATCTAACTCATGTTTAGGCAAGATGGTGGCACAGGTAGAGGCTGTATTTCAAGTGTGTGTTTCAATTGAAGGGTGAAAGGTAAAGTGGTTTATCTGCAAAAAAATTTTCAAAAAAAGCTTAGTGCTCATGGAACCTCATTCCTTTCATAGAAAATGAAATTTCTTGTAATTATGTAAAAGATGAATTGATACGTACAATTTTCTTCACTTTTAACATGACATTAACCTCACAGCAGAATCTGAGTTCTGTTCTTCTGCCTCTGTTTCTGATGTTCTTGCTGTAAGTAGGAAGAATCACATATACATAAAGAAGATGAGTCACACTGACTCCAAAGACTAAAAGTCTGCTGCCACAAATCTAAATTTTATAGTTATTCCATTTTGTCATGTCTGTCAGCTATGATTCACTCATAGATCTCCATTTGAAGTTGTGTTTAAGTCATCTTTTAGTGATATCTTTCACAAGGTCAGCATCTGCAATATACCAAATACAAGGCAAGATGCATATCTCCCTGAACAACTGGCCAAAAATTCATGCTGCATTTTGTGGGAGGGAGTTTCAGGATAGGGAAGAAACTGGATCTTAAAAGTATGCATTTTGACTATGACTATGTCATAGTAAAAAGACTATGACTAGAGTTTATATTTCTGTTTCTTGAGCACATGCTAGGAGGCTGAATTTCAAACTAATTTTTGTCAGAGAATAACTGAGAGATCTTGTTGGGGTCAGATAGAACCCTTTATCACAGGCCTTCTAAGAGGAAGTACCTATAAAGGAGGCTCCATGGATCTACCTCACTTATGACCTGATAGAATGTGCAGGAAATGGAAATGCATTGAGGCATTTAAGTCTTACATTGCAAGTCTTCACGAAGTACCATATCTACTGTAAGTATTAACTTCTTCAAATAATGTCACGTACAACCTGCAGAATCCTCTGAAGTTTGACCATCTATTTCTCAAGTTAGGAACATTGTCACATAGAACCTTGTTGACGAAATGAGAAAAAACAACTTTGCCTAAAATCTTTATTTTTGCTTGGCAGGTGCTGACTGAATACACTAAATGGAAACACATACCAATCATGCTGACACCAGAACAACGAGTTTGCTCTTTGCGCACTTTGCTCTCACAGTCTGTCAGAAACTGAATAATGTGTTTAGTGATCAGTGGATTGGACAGGGTGACACCAGAACAACGAGCTGAATTCGTTGTTCTGGTGTCAGTGTGGTTGGTATGCATTTCCACTTAGTGTGTTCAGTCAACAGCTGCCAAGCAAAACCAAAGATTTTAGGCAAAGTTGTTTTTTTCTCATTTGTCAACTGACTTTTGTGTCACACTGTACATGATGATGAGTTCAGAGAGAATTCATGTTAATTCCCGTATGTAGATAATTAAGGCATGCTTTTCCTTAAGCAAACCTTTGAAGATCATTTTCCCTGCTCATTTCAAAGATTTTATAACCAAGTTCAGCTGCAATTCTAAGTGATCACAATTCTTTGCATGGGGGCTTGATTCCATGTTGAGTCTGACTCATTGATGCATCTGTCATCATTTGTATTTTTATTGTACTTGCCACCTGGGAAACCCCCCCCAGAATTGGCAAAGGTGGAATAAAACCACCTGAGGGGAAAACATGAAAAAGTCACCATAAAAGCAGCAACCTGGCTGTTAAGCAAAATAATGAAAACAAGCTTATTATGCCTGTTTCCTCAATAGTCATCATTGACATTTTCTCATTTCTTTACATTTTGAATATATTAAATTTAAGCAAATCTTTCATAGTTTTCTCATGAAATTTTAATTGAATCTAATCATTGTTGAACAATTTTTAAAATGTAAATTTCATTTGGGTATTTATTAGATGTATTGTAATTGCATATAAGGCAATTAGCTGAGCCCTAACTATTGCTTAATTTATTGAGTACTACATTATCCATGTATAAATCTCAATTTCAAAAATACAAATTACTAATGTTAATGACAATTAGAATCATGCATGCAAAATATACAAAGTTAAATGTTTTTTATTCTTAAATTATATTAAAAGCAAACTTAAACTTTTATTGCTGGTTTCATCAAGGCTTTTTTCCATTAATGCCAATTCTGGGGGTATTTTTTTCAGGTGGCATTTATTCAGATGGCTTTTTTGCCTAACCTCATTGTCTGCTATGGGTTTTTGAATTTATCTCTAGAGAATTCTCACAGCAGATTACATTCATGGAGTTCCAATTGGAGACAAAAATATGTTATTGAAAGAGGGCTTCTCCTTGACTGACATTGATACAAAACTCATCAAGGTGTTTTCAGAACAAATTTTCCACACTGGCTTTGTTCATGCAGACCCTCACCCAGGAAATAGTATGACCTACTTTTTTCTGTTTCTCCAGAACTTCTTATCTTCACTGTCATTGAATGCCCTAACTGAGCCACAATTTTCCAGTTCTGGTCAGGAAAGGCAGAGGAGGTGATGCTGAGTTGATCTTACTTGACCATGGCTTGTATGAAACCCTGCCTATCCAACAGAGGCATATGTTATGCAGGCTGTGGGTGGCCATTGTTTTGAACAACCAAGCTTCCAAGGAGAAGTTCTCCCATCATCTTGGTGTTGCTGGTATGGATGCATATTCCTACTTAAGCAAGGGTAAACTCTAGACCAGTGGTTCTCAACCTTCCTTTTACTCCCATTGAACCTTCATGCATTCGGGGGGGTGACACCTCCCAGGTTGAGAACCACTGCTCTAGACAAAACATAGTTTTTGAAACTGTCTGATGCTGGAGCAGAAGTATTTTATTTCTCTGCCTAATTAAATTAGTTATGTGTTCTCTGAAGAGTTGGGCTAGCTACCTAGTTTTGTTTATCTTCTAGCATTATTGAAGCTATACAGATCATTGTAGTTGACAGGCAGGAATGCTCTACTGGTATGACAACTCATACTATGCTTCATCTTCTACAGATCATGAACTCTTCTGTGAAATCCTTCTTCAGCGCCCCTTGAGGTACACTTGGAACCTACGGATCCCAACCCATTTGACAGAGGAGGACATCAGACACATGAAAGAAATGGCAGCTGAAAGATTTGATATGATAATGGATGTCCTTAGATCTATTCCCAAAGAAATGCTGCTGGTAATCCGGTAAGGAGGCACTTCTTGCAGCTATGGATTCATACTGGGTGAAGCAATATTTTGAAGCCAAATTTTCCTCCAAATTCCACAATGGTTTTGGAGCAAGATACTTTACATGTAGAGGTACCATTTGAGAGTTGAGTTTCAAAATGGTAGCGTCTTTCTTTATGTAGGGGGTCTACACATGTTGTATATGATGCCTTGTAAATTTCCTACTGATATCTTGTGTTCAGTCTGCAGCACGTAAGGTAGGAAACTTTTTTAGGGTCACTTCGAGTGTCCCTGATAAAAATATTTTGATTTATTTTAGTAAAATTTGGATATCCTGGAAATGCTTTGCAGAAAATTGCTGACTTTTTCATGTGTAACCTCAGAATGTCACCTTCAAGGTTTGAGTAGGGAATCAGGAGGCATTTTTGCCTATGATGACATCCTGTGTCAAGCTTCAGCATTCATTTAAAATATGTAGGACCTGGTGTCCATTCCAAAGGACACTGCATTTACATTGTGTCTGTGGCATTTCTTAGGATTCTCCTGACTTTGTACTCAATATTATGCTAAAATGGGTGCAACTGTGCATGGCTTAGTTCCATCAGAGGCTTTCTTTCACCCATTAGTTTTGTAATCTTCAGTTATTTAATTTAATGTATAATATACAAAATATGGTATGATATGGTAAATTTATACAAAATATGAAAACTGCATATAAAGCATTAAAATTTAAATTACAATCACAAAAGAGCTCAAAAATGCAAAAAAGGATATTATTCCAATAGTGGCCTTAATTCAGGTCTGAAAGGGTTAAAGCTTGTTAGGAAATTTGCTAGTTTTCTCTCCCTTGGCACTTCACACAAAATGCTGCTTTCAAGGACAATTCTTAACCCTTTAACATGTTTGCTGCCGATGACACTCGTTTCTATGGAAAGGATAACTACGAGGTGCATCATCGGCAGTGAACATGTTAAGGAATGGGTTCTTTCAATGCTTGCAAGATCCCCCTAAGTGAATATATGGAGGACAGGATAGCATTAGCCTGTAAATATATGGGCTTCTTCCTCAAATGGTTAATGGTATCATTACTTTACAAGTGCATTCCTTGATGACACAAATTGGAATCCCATCAGGGCTAGTTGCCTTTCCTGCCTTATCCCTATCCTACTCATGATCTCCCTTCTTGATGATGGCAATATCTTCTATGCACATTGAGATGCAATCACTGTTACTTGGGTTGCAATTTTTCAAAAGGCAGCCACATTTTAATGTCTAACCTGGTATACTGGATTCTGGAATGTACTTGTCAGCTAATAGCATGTGTTTTTAAATTTCATTTGTAGTAATTTGAATACAGTCAGGGGGATACTCAAAGATCACAATTCCTCTGTGGATCGTTATGTCCTCATGGCCCAGAGTGCATCACGAGGATCTTTCTCTGTTGGTGGGAAGAAGTCACTTGTTGCATCTTGTCAATCACTGTGGGCCTATCTCCACTTTGAGGTGACTCTCAGGTAAATAAGAATATAGATTGTGTATGCAGTGTCACATGATTCCCTAATCTATCAGCTTCTTTCATTTTTACAGGTATCAGGCTTACATGCAAATAGTGCATATGTGGGTCTTGAGGCTTTACCTGAAGTTGCTTCAGGTGATGGCGAGAAGTCCAATAGAGACACAATGGATCATGGAGCAATTTTCATGAATTTTTTTTCCATAATCTCTGTAGTGCTATTAAAAGTTCTATAAATATTTTTTGCTTTCATATTGAATAAAATGTACTCCTATTTTTTTTTAAGGGTTAGTTGTATAGCAGTTAATGACTGATAATTGCAATTTGCATAAATTTTTTAATGCAGAAGCTCTGTTTGAAAAGAGAGATGAAATGAAAGGTCCATTCTACCAACTTTAAGAAGATATTAACATGACTGGGCTTAAAAATTTCTCAGATTTTCATATGTCATATATGTAGCTAAAACTTGGAGTTTTAAGTCCACTTGTCCCTTTTCCAATTTTCAACATTATGACCCTCAACCAATACACACTTCTTTCCTTGTCCTCTCAGTTTCCTAATTTCTGTAGGAAACCAATCTTCAGGAGTTATGTTTACCCATTGGCTTACAACTGATGCAAGGGCAGTCTTTGACCCTTATCACTTTTAATTTTTTATTTCAAAGAGATGATAGATTGGGCAATATTTAATTATTTGTGGGTAGAATAGAATTCTGTCAAGATCAAAGATTGTCCAAATGGCATGGGTGGTTTGAGGTGGATATTGTCTTGCTTCAGTGCTACCCCTTAGGATGTGAGGCCACCCCAGCTTTTCAGTATGGCTTATTTGATGTAGCTCTGCAATGTTATTTATTTGATTGGAAAGAAAGTTCTCGGAATTTCTTGAATATCCAGTACAATTTTTTTCCAGAGCATGCTAGAATGTTCTGCGTGTGTTTATAAGTAGGTCGTGTCCTTCGGCATACAACCGTATATTATTACAGCCCTGGTGCTCTCCAGCCATGAACCAGCCCTACCCTCTTACTAAGGAGCAAGTTCGCCTGCTTCTTCTTTATGACTTC